AACAGTCCGTTTTATAATTTATCATTTATTTGCATGTGTTTTGAGGCCCGTGTAATGTTATTAACTCTAATAATGATTAATTTGATTGAAGTACTCAATTATTTATTATTTTTTGAAAATTGTTAGATATGGGAAAACGATAAAACACTGTTTTTTCAATTGTAACTTTTTCTTTATCATTTATCTATGCTTTTGATTTTATTAGACTTTATGCAGATACCCGTTCTTATAGAATCTAAATAGAGCTATTCAAGTCATCCGGTGAAATTGTATTCATATCGCAAAATGTATCGCAGAATAACAAAATATTGCAATGCTAGAGTTTTCCAATATTGTGCAACCCCACTATACAAGTAAACTCAATATAGGTTTATAGATGAATATTAGGGTTGGGCAATAGCCTCTTTCACACATACAGACCTTTCTAAAAAATTACCGGCAATTTTTCGGAAAGGTTGTATGTGTGAACAGGTCCTTTCTGAAAATACCGGTAAATTCGTACTGGCTATTTTCCAGAAAAGAGATTTTGTAACATTACCGGTAATTTGCCGGAATGCTGCGCTGTGTGAATGCAGAAGGAAGATTGCCGGAATAAGCGTGTGCACGTCTAGAACGTGCTGACGTGAGACGTCTGCTTTAGCCAATCACAACAGTCAGACGCATTTACGTCCGCGCGGTTTATGAGAATAAAAGCCTTTGAATATTTTTCCAGACACATTTAGCTGCTAGAAGTTAGTCAGATCATGTTTATATGTTTTTCTTAATGCCAACTGTGTAAATAATCATCGATGAGATGCTTATGATAAGCCGTTGTTTGTTTACCTTCAAACAGCCTGTGAGCGCCTGCACATGCACATATTATGAACATCTCGACATGCGAAAGTGATCCTGCGAAAGTTGTTCACAATATTGATCATCCACAGAGTTTGTAATTTAGTCAAATGTTTACAAATACAAGCGCAGCCGTTTAAAGCTCATTTGTAGTGAATGATGTCAGAATTTAAAGGTATTTTGGAATGGATGTGAGAATGCTCTTTTCCGTAAAATTTCCGTAACATCCTCGCCTGTGTGAACAGCGCTTTTTTGAATATACTGGTAAAGTTGTTCTGGAAATTTTCCAGATATTTACCGGTATCACTGTGTGAAAGAGGCTAATGTCAACCAATTTGGCATCGTACGATGTCTAATGTGATTTATTGCGACGGACAATGGCATCGTCGTCGTAGGTGTCTGTGAATTAATTATTTCTGAACAATTCCTTCATTCATAAGTTAATTTATAGCCTACCATTTCAACTACCTGACCTGCATGCTCTTTGTTTTACCCATAACCAAATCATAAATTAACAAAGATAAGTTACACACAGGGGACGCAGTGGCGCAGAAGGTAGTGCTGTCGCCTCACAGCAAGAAGGTCACTGGTTCGAGCCTCGGCTGGGTCACTTGGATTTCCTGTGTGGAGTTTGCATGTTCTCCCTGCATCCCTGCAAATTGTCCATAGTGTATGAGTGTGAATGAGCGTGTGTGGAAGTTTCCCAGAGATGGGTTGCGGCTGGAAGGGCATCCCCTGCATAAAAACATGACGGATAAGTTGGAGCTTCATTCCGCTGTGACGACCCCAGATTAATAAAGGGACTAAGCCGAAAAGAATTGAATGAATGAAGTTACACACAAATTACCACCTGTCAATCATTATTTCAACATGAATAGGCCCAAACCAAACTTGGTTGGTAAAAAAGATGCACAACCAGCATGAACCAAGCAACAGTATCTGAGGTTTTCACTAAAATTACAAAGTACAAGCGTGAAAGTGAAAGATTGAAGCAGTGTACTAATGCTGTGACACGTTACCTGATAGATTCAAAAGACCAAAGAGTCATTAGATAGAGACAAGATTAATTAAATATCACGTTTAACAACTATAGTGAGAAGCAATCCAGCGGTACATCCTTGATAAACTGTGCAACGTGCACTGCTCTCTGGGGTTTTGTGTTCAAAGCATCTGCTTACTGCTGGAGCTCAGACATGTGCATATGCTGCAGCGCATGCCAGAATGAGTGTGTGTGTCATCATGTGATGTTCTTTTTTAGCGGTATAGTATGGAAGGAGGGTTGTTCAGAATTGATGGATGAAACGCCAGTGTGGACGTGGATCGTTTTCGTTCTTAAAGGCCATTTTAAAATGAAGACGTATTATGTAAACAGGCCTGAGAGTGTATTTTTCATGAGCTGGTTGCTGCTGCGATGGGGGCAGGGCAAAGGATCATGATGACGGCTCAGCATCGTTATGTCTATTGGTCATCGGTGATGGCATCATCTATCAACACAACCCTAGTAAACATACAAGTAAAATACTCAAGAGCAACTTGACTACAACAGAAACCGCAGATATACACATGTATAAAAATGTGTAATCAAATGACGTTCCTTTAATAGTTTGCCATAATTTATAAATCATTAAACCAAGAGGCTGTTGAATATTTGGTTCTGATTGGCTGAGGAACAATATGCAGTTATTTTGAGATAAACACAAAGCTAAAGTAGTTCCAGGCCAATCTTGACTGCATTACAGTTCCATAACAATACGCTGAATGATTTTGTTTATTTTAAATCACTTGAGCCAGGCGGACATTCCACTTCTCGTTGACGCTGCAACTCAGTATGCATTATTTGTGTAGTAATTTAACAGCCCATCATAATTAATCCCTTACATAATACAGCAGCAGCTCAAATGTGAATCTGTGCCGCACATACGTCATCATGTTGCGAGAGGAAGTTGCACTACAGACTGTCCGAGATGCTTGCTGAAGCTGTGGATTAAAGGTATTAATGTTGTAAATAATGTTCTGCATGAGGGCCCACAGCTATTCTTCTTTTTTCTTTGTCGGTCTACTCACAAACTGGTAGAAGATATCTATTGTCATTTTATAAAACCAGAAACAACCGTTTGACAGTCTGTAATGTTCTACTGTGAATGCACTGACGTGAATGTCACCTGCATCTATGGTTTTAAAAGGAGTAAATTAAAAATAATAATAATCTAATCAAATTTTACATTTGTTTAGTGAGCTATCCCTTTTACATTAAGAAATGCTAACCGACAACCGTGAAAGGTTATCCTATTATATTTAGACTCCTTAAAAAATTAAGGGAACGCAGTTCATATATACTATATATAAATCCAACTATTTTGGAAATATAAATTTCAGCGTAACCTTTTTTTTAACATCCAGATTGCTAACAATGATCCCAACTTAAAAAACTCATCCATTTTCTTTCTTTTTGTACTTAGAGTGATACACCAGTTCAGGAAATGTGGCCAATATCAAATACCACAATATAACGTTAACTGTAGTAGTAATGACGGCTATGTTATCACCATATGTTGACAGAAACCATGGTGACCACAGATTTAATTTCATAAAAGGTTATTGCACCTAAATTAGTCTATTATAATCCAGTATTATACATATTGTGTGTTTGTCGTTATTTTCTCACCCTCGTTTGGTTCCACATCTGTCTGTATGACTATGTCGTTTCTGCTCTAACATTCTCTAAATAACGTTAGTTGTTCACCGACTGACCATTGATTTTCAGAAAAAAAAGTTTATTTTTCCATAAACTTTCCCGTTTTAAGCTCCACAAATTGAGCTCATGTTGGTTTGGAGCGGCGTGATGGTGAGTAAATCACACAATGTTCATGTGTAGGTAACAAGTGTGCCGCAAGCCTACGTTTGAGTGAAGGTTTCGGCCGTTAGATCGCCCCCTGGGGGCTGGCTGCAGTACAAGTCATAAAGCCCGCCTCCTCCGTGTTAATGAAGGAGACTTGAGCCCAAATAAAAAAAAATATTACACTTGCAATAAAATGTCCCGAAAGATAGTTCTGGTCGATTAAGGCACTGGTTATTGTGCTGAAATAGGTGCAGATCTTCATTTTTGTAAACAGTTTGTTTTTAGCAGTAATTTAATGCTGGGCGTGTCATCGTGATACACAGCTGTGATTGACAGTTTCTCAAAGCGCGGCGTCTGAGCTTCGGCAGGAGACTGAAGTAGACTGAAATGTTATTATTCGATTTCTGTGTTATTTTACCATGACAAAATGAGTTCAGCAGTAAACTATAGTTTCTGACATACATGATCCTGGTGGAACACTGTTTATTCGCTAAGTTCAGGGCTTTTTTCGGGCTTTATTAGTTTGCTGATACACGCCTAGCCACCCAAATAGCAAAACACAGTTCCGGCTAGATTCTCGCCTGCCGGAGACTTATCTCTTAGAGCTCAGACTGACTAATGTTACCTCTGCTGGACCTACTCCGGATGCCTGGACTCACTGCCCGATTCCAGTCCGAGTCAATCGAGCCAGATGCGGCGGCCGAGCGAGCAGGCGCTGCCGCATGCGAGCCGGAATCAGCCCGCGACGCCGCGAGTAAGTTATGCGCTGCAGCCCGGAGCTGGCGCGATTAAATATATAAAACCCTCATATTTGTTAACGTTATTACATCCATTTGTGTTGATATGACAGCAAACGCATGCTGAGAAGTTCGGGGGGCGTAGTTGATTTTACATAAAGCGTTTGATTGGAAGCTCGACTCTGCTCATTTTCGCGGCTCCTCCTCTGGCTCCATCAGACAATCCTTCTGCGCATGTCTGGCTCCAATTTCAGCAGTCTTTTGCGACAGTTTGTGCCCGTCAAGCAGGCGTTTTGCCCTCAAGGCGTTCAATGGGAAAAAGGGCTGTCGCGTCGTCCATATTTTTTACAGTCATTGGTAGGTAACGTTAAGCCTTCTTTCTATCTGGGCCGCTTTGTTGCCAATGGCTGCAGGTTAACAAACATCCCCGGCGAGAAACAAAAGCCCCAACATGAAAGTTTTGCACACGTTTCGCTGAAACCATTGCGCAAATAGGAGACCACATTCTACTGAATTCTGGACGATCTTTCGGTTATTTGTATCAAACAATACTATAAACACAATATTGATAATGAATTTGAAAGAAAACAAACCCCATTTACCGGCAGCCTTCCGCTCCGCATTAACGCCATTCGGGCTGTTGTGATTCGCGACCAGGTTGTTGGTTTCCTCTCCGGCGGATCGACTGTCCTCCAGCGTCTCGCTCCGGCGGACCTTCCCGTTCTTGTGTTTTTTGGCTCCGCCGTGGCTGTGTCCGTGTCCGCCGTGCGAATGCCCGTGTCCCCCGCCGCCGGCGTGCCCGTGAAAGAGGCAGAGCCCGAGCAGGTTGACCAGCAACCCCAGAGCCCCCACCCCGATCACAACCCAGGGCTGCTCGATCTCGTGCGGCTCAGTGAAGCGTTCGATGGCCTCGAGAATGATGGTGAAGCAGAGCGCGGTCAGGAACACGGCGTTGACCAGCGCGCCCATCACCTCGGCCCGGATCCAGCCGAAGGTGTTCTTGTTGGTGGACTGGGTCTGCTCGGCAAAGCGCACCGCGACCAGAGCCACGACCAGCGCGATCACGTCCGACAGCATGTGGAATGAGTCCGAGAGCATCGCCAGAGAGGAGGTGATCCGGCTGACCACTACCTCCACGATGAAGAAGCCGAAGGTGAGCGACAGCATGCAGAGCAGGCGAACCCGGTTCGGCGCGCAGGCCATGATCACACCGCGGGCGGAGCACAGACAGAAACAAAGCTTTAAATCGAAGCGACCCCCTTCGGGTTAATATCCCATCACTGAGCTCGTTCCCCGATGGACAGGCTGTAAGCGCTGCGCTTATCCGCGTGTAATGAGCGCCGAGGAGCGGGTTCGGTCCGGTTATACAGCCCGTATTCTGCCGCTCGTCTGCAGACGGCTGAAACTTTGCACCCGGACCGGCGAACTTTCCACACGGAACACGCTCAGCGGCTAGCCACGCCCACACTCATGTGATTGGTTGAGCGCTCGGGATCGAGGAAAATCAGAGCTTTCTAGAAAAGCGCAAAACTCCGCGTACAAACACAGCATGTCCCTTACAGCTAAAGCTTGCGTCAGTGACCCACAACAGAAGCAAATACATATAAGTGCAACCATTATTCATTTATTTATTCCAAATAAAAACAATGCTTCTAGCAATAAAACATCCATAGTGTAATGCACATTAAAAAGACAGTTCACCCAAAATAAAACATTACTTACCATTTATTCACCCTCAAGATGTTCCCTTTCTCTTCACAAAAGGAGATATTTGGAAGAATGTTTGTAATTGATAGTCAGACATCTATAGTGGGATATAACAAATTTTATTAAAGTTAATGGCTACTGATTCCCAACATTTCTCTAAATATCTTCATTTTTGTGTGATCAGAAAATAAAAAAAGAAACGAAAAGGTTTGGAAAAATTGGAGGGTGAATAAATGATAAGAGAGTTTTGAATTTGGGGTTAGCTGTCCCTTTAAATGAAATGCTCCAGTGTACTGTACAAATGCTGCAGCAAATAAATTAAAGCAGGAATCTATCTCTTAATATACACAACTAGACGAAATCCTCTTGACGTGATTGACCACAGTGGCAGTGTCTTTGAAGGCTAGCGGATTCCCTGCATTTCTCTGTGTTTTGGCGAGTGGATCATCTTCTCCTCCTCTCCGAGTGTCTGTATGCGCTTGTTCATCAGCTGGTGTCTCTTCTCAAGGATGTGCTCCTGAGGTTTCATGATCAGTCTGCCGTTCTCCTTCCCGTCTCCTGCAAAGTGAACCCTCTTTTTCCCTGGAGAGATGTTCTCTTCATTCTCTGTTGAAACGCAAAATGAGAATTTTCATTCGTTTTCGAAAAACCACATATAGTTAATTGTTTCCCTCTCATTATAATATCTGTGGCTCAAACAATGATGACTCAAGGGGCTACTTAAATTTCAGCTGAGTCATGTTTTTAGTGGTTATTGCACACTGCCTTTCCACTGCACACTTCACTCCTTAGCTCCCTTTTAGCATTTGCTTATTTTATTAGGCGCTCATTTATCATACTATATATTATTGCTCCCAAATAGTTGTTCAAATCAATGGAGAATGGTCAGTTTAATGCATCCTTGAACAACTAAAACAGAAATGTCTGATAAGAATTTATTTCTGTTCTTGTTATCTAATCTTTCGAATGAACCTTTAGTGTCCTTAAAAACAACAACAACAACAACAACCATTTCTGAAGGATCATGTGATGATAAAGACAGAAGTAATGATGCTGAAATAAAACGTTCACAAATCACATGAATAAGAAAATGACATTGAATATTTCAAATGGAAAACAGCTACTTTAAACACTTATATTTCATGATGTTTATTGTATTTTTGTAGCCTTGGTCTTTGTAGATCATATACTTCATCTAAAAATCTCTATTACAAACTAACCAGTAGTGTACATAATAAAAATATCAGCCATTTATACATTAACAGAAAGCTGTGCAGTGAAGGAAACCAGTGAGATGCATAAACAACACAAAAGATTAATACCTGTGTCGCTGGCGCTGAGCAGAGATAGCGCCCTCTGCTGTCGGATCAGATTAAACGCCTTCAACATGCTCTCGGCTCTGTCGTACACACACATACCCATAATAATGAATTTATCAACACCGTATACACGTGTAGTAGTATTCAAGGTTTTTGATGCTCACTACTAATGTTAGCTACTAATATCTATTACACTCACATGATCAAATTAGCAAAAGCTAGCTTTATATTATTTACCTGACCAGCTTTTCATTAGTTTGCTGTTCTCGGACACACAGTTCTTGTTCCCTTTCTGCAAAAAATAAAAAAATAATTAAAAAAATAATAAAAACAAGGTAAACCATTAGACACCAAAAGCATAGAATTTCTTAACTAAAGGTTCACCTAAAAACAAACAAAAAAATCCTTTAGACTTTTGTTCTTCAACACTCCAACACAAATAAAGCTATTTTAATGCAATCTGATGTTCAGTCCAACAAAACACCTTACAAAAATATATATGAACCTAATCATTAAATGTGCCGAGAAAGGCTTTTGTATACTGTTTGACAATCTCAACTGAAAAATGAAGAGAAGGTGGGACATAATGGCCAATGGTGTTTTGTTTTGATCACAGCTAATCCAGTGAGAGTGATTAAGCGCATCAAATGAAAAGCAAACGAGAAGCGTCTTGAAGGGGGCAGGCCGGCATGACAGATACTAGAGAGCATTTGATTGGTGAAGATCTGATGAGTAACTGAAGTATGAGGTGACATGATAAAAACGTTGATGCATTTAGGCTGCGGTGACACTTCAAGCTTTGTATGTTTATATCAAATTAACATTTTTAAAGGAAAACTATGTCACTGTTTGGAGAACAATAGCTAATTGATGTCCTTAAAACTAACTAACAACTAAAAAACTTTTTTTGTTTCACAGGACCTTTAAAGTCTCCTGAAGACACACTTGAATAGATTTATTTGGGGATATTAATTCCATTTAAACATCGATGGATTTACTGTAGCACATCAAATATGGTCAAACTCAAATCTGCTCACCTGACAGACAACAAATCTAGACAAATCTAACAAAAGTCTTCAGTTGTGTGAGGAGGATCAAAATTCTTGTGGGTTTGATTAATGAGTGAAATGAAAAAAAGTTAATTAGTGGGTAAATTAGGACAATTAATATTTTTAGATGTAGCATTTGATAACAGCAAGTAAATGATAATGATCCATTTCAAAATGAAAATCTTTAATTTTTCCAAAACCACAGGGCTTTTATTTGTCTTCTGAAAAGAAATTAAGTTACTTATGGATTCTGCCAATTTCCGTTCCTTCATTGAAAGTCCACTGGTAACACTTTATTTTGATGGTTTAATTTATTTTGATGGTCCGGTCTGATTAATATCTGTTGATACTGCTCCTTCAACATAGATTTTACTGACTATATAAGAAACTTTGCTAGTACATGTCAACTTACCCTAACCCCAACCTAACAGTCTACTAGGAATGCACCGATACCATTTTTTGGAAACGATCCGATCCTGATACTAAAACTGAGTATCGATCGATACAGACCCAATCCCGATACTGTGCCGTATTTTTTATGTATTTTTTTAAAACCTAATACAGTTTCTATAGTTCTGGGGCTCAAATAATGTATCTTCCTTAGTAAAAATAACAGACCTGTAAGTCTACTGTATATAGTAGATGGCACAATCTAAAACTTGATGCTGATCTGTTGTGGTCCAGCTTATGTTTCCTTTTTTAATATTAGGCTTTTTCTTTGAAATCTGTACTAGGCTACCATTATTGACCCTGATTGATGGTAAAATAAACTGTCTTTTAGCAAACCCTGATATTTTCCTGCAGGTTTAAAGCAGAATAAACTAAACTGTCTGAGTTTTACTTGGTAAACATTCCTTCGCCTAAACTTGCCACGAGTGAGATGGTAAAAGTATCTCACAAACAAAAATATAGAAACACTGGAGTGTCTTAAAGCCGTAAAGATTAGTCGATTGCCAGTTTGTGTTTGCACTCGGTAAACATCAGTGAACAGCAGTGAACTGATGACCTTTACGGCCAATCACAGTCATTTATGTTGAGCACTAGTGAACACTAATGGCAAATCAGCTGCGTTTAAGAACATTCTAGCACTTCTATTAGCTGGAAATTTAAATCCTTAAAATTTTTTCACTGTCAAAATTCAGTATTGTGATAGGTCTGATACAGTGAAAGAATTAGTTCATCAACTTTATTTTTAGTATCCATTCAGAACAGACCTTCAGGTCACTCGAAAGGGGGTGAAATAATAAATTCGTGTCACTTTCTCTTCGCTCATAAGATTTACAGCCAGCTACACAACATCTCTGTGCAGCTCCAGGCAATACTTTTGGGTTTCTTCCCACCGCAGCCTCGATTTTGCTTTTAAAATGGAGACTGTGTGAAAACAGTCTATGGGCATTTTTTGAAACATTCCTGAAAAGATCTAACAAAGGAAAGTAACAAATGTTGGATTGGAACAAGTGGAGGATGAGTAAATCATAACACAAATAAAATGGTTTGAACTGTCCCTTTAGCTTTCAGAAGGCCAACAACAGTGTGCTTACGCTCTAGCCGCTGCTCTCGCTCTTTGAGGGCCTGCTCTCGCTCTCGGAGAATCTGCTCTTTAAGCCGCAGCTCTGCCAGAAGTGGTGACTCTGGATGTTTGGGCTGCTCTGCCTCATCTGATCTGCGCCGCTGTTTCTCCTGGAGCCTCTTCTGCTCGAGGGCCACGTAACCGGAGATCAAACCATTCTGCAGGATGGACTCCACAGAGGGCCTCAGATAGTCCTGACAAAAAAAAAAAAAGACCACCAGTCAGGATGTGCCCAAACACATTCTGCAATATATAGTAGTCAACATCTGAAGTAAAAATACATGCTAACGATGTGTTAAACATGTTTCAAACATTCAGCCAATGTATGAAAATGGTAATTATATGCTAAAACATGCAGGCAGACATCCTCAGAGCAATCTGTTTGATAATCTTAAATTAAAATGTGCTATAAAGTTGGCATGGAATCAAAATGTAATATTATTTTTATATAAGTTTATAGTTGTGTTTGCTATAACAATGCAAATGTGCACTAGATTATTTCTTAAAAATTCTCTCAGAATCTTTAATAAAATATCATAACCTACCCTCTCCCCTTAAAATGACTTCACTTCTGATCACATGGAATGCATTTAGGGTGAAACAATCAGTGCGGTTCTTGGTTCACCCATTTGTCCTTACTAATGTCCATATTCCAACCACCTCCCAATGGATGATATCAAGCACTCCCTGACATTAATTTCTCATTTTATGACAGTTTCATTTGGAAGCATGTCAAAATATAGGAAAAAAGAACAATCTTAACTGCCGCGTTATGCAGACTTGAAGCATAAAACCATCAAACTTATTAATTATAATTCATCATCTGTATGACCTTTATAATTCTATTTTTTTTTTAAAAACAGTTAATATTGAAAACTGAGTGGAGCTTTCAGGCCTCTGGGCTGTCCAACTGCGGTCAGTGAGGAGATAAAGTAGAATGTGAACGTTATTTAAAGTAGTTACAGATACAACACAAATGACAAAACCACAAAATGATCATTCAAGTAGGTTAGGGGAACAGTACAACTTACTGAAGCAAATGGCATCTCACTAAAATAATCAGTCAGTCATGAGATTGTAATGTTACTCAACCAGTGTTGGCCAAGGAAGTTACTAAAAGCAGATTAATTTGATGCTAAATGATAATGTAATGTCACCGTGCCAAGATGCCATTTTATACCCTTAATGCAAAACTGTGACTGGTAGAATAGTAGTTAGTTAAAACATTACAAATTACCACATGGGCAACTGTAAAGGAAAACTTTACTCATTGTTAAGTTACTCTGTTTAACTGTATACTGCGAGTTGTTGTATTTTAGTTACAAGACATGTCGGTAAGTTTAGTAACAGGGTGCCAAACTCATTCAATTTAGGTGTTAATAAAGCTAAAAAAAAAACTGCATTAAATAAGCTAATTAATTCACTTATGACATGCACTGACTTTGAAAACAAATCTACATTCACTGGCCACTTTATTAGGTACACCTGTCCAACTGCTCCTTAACGCAAATTTCTAACCAGCCAATCACATAGCCGCAACTCTGCATTTATGCATGTAGACAAGTTAAAAACGATGTGCTGCAGTTCAAACTGAGCATCAGAATGGGGAAGAAAGGTGATTTAAGAATGTGGCATAGATGTTGGAGCCAGACAGGGTGGTCTGAGTATTTCAGAAACTGCTGATCTACTGGGAATTTCAGCAACAACTATCTTCTGTAGGGTTTACAGAAAATGGACTGAAAAATAAAAAAATATCCAGTGAGCAGCAGGTCTGTGGGCACAAACGTCTTGTTGAATGTCAGAGGAGAATGGCCAGACTAGTTCCAGCTGATAGAAAGACAACAGTAACTCATATAACCCCTGGAGCCTGGATCCATCCTGCCTTGCATCAACAGTTCAGGCTAGTGGTGTAATGGTGTAGGGGATATTTTTTTGGCACACTTTGGGCCCATTAGTACCAATTGAGCAATCGTGTCAATGCCATAGTCTACCCGAGTGTTGTTGCTGACCATGTCCATGTCTTTATGACCACAGTGTACCCATTTTCTGATGGCTACTTCCAGCAGGATAACATGCCATGTCCTAAACCGCGAGTGAACTGTACTCAAATGGTCCACACAGTAACCAGATCTCAATCCAATAAAGCACCTTTGAGATGTGGTGGAATGAGAGATTTGCATTATGGATGTGCAGCCAAAAAATCTGCAGCAACTTACTGTGTGATGCTATGAAGTCAATATGGACCAAAATTTCTGAGGAATATTTCGAGAACCTTGTTGAATCTTTGCCACGAAGGATTAAGGCAGTCCTGAAGGCAAAAAGGGGCCCAACCCGGTACTAGTAAGGTGTATCTAATAAAGTGGCCGGTGAATGTACTGTATGTTTTGTGAACAAACAGCATACTTTTATATTGTAAATAATTGAATCACATGTTTGAAATGGTGTTGAAATGCACTTTTTGGTAGAAGGTAGATATAGTGTTTTTAATCTTAACTTTTAAGACAGTTCAATGTTAGAGTAGAAACATAAATGCACAGATAAAATAAAATTAATATGCTTGCAGATGAAGGTGGAGATCCCATATTCCACTGTGAAAAACAGGGTCATGGATATTGTTTACTACAGATACAGTTGTTCCACAAATTCAGCTGTTATACAATACAATTGAATTCACAATGAAGACAATGAGTGGTGTTGTTACTTTCAGACTGTTGCATACTTTACCCTCACCAATATTTACCTTTAAGTTGAGCATTTTTGAAAGCAGTGTGTTTAGCTCATCCGAGTATCGGTATGGGATTCTTCGAAATCTGCCTTCTCTGATTTTTCGAGCCAGCTCTGTCTGGTTGTATGCTGTAAATGGGGGCCTAAAAAAAATAAATAAAATTTCTCATTAACTCACACTCAATCAGTTCTAAACTTTTATATACTTTTAAATTTCTTTCACCTGTTGAAGACAAAAGATATTCTTAAGAACGTGGGGGGGAAAGCACCCTTTGACATACTGTTGAAGTTTTTCCCCAACATTCTTCAAAATATCTTTTGTGTACTACAGAAAAAAACAGCTCAAACAGTTTTGGAACAAGTGAATTGTGAGTAAATATTGCTAGAATTTTTATTTTTTGGCTTAAACTATCCCTTTAAATTCAGTCAATGTACACAGTATTAAAAAAACTGAGGAGAACAAGAATACATTTATACTTACGATAAAGCACATAGTTCATAGAGTAAACACCCTAAAGACCATATATCCGATTTCTCATTATAGGACATGCGATTCATTTGTTCCTGTGAACGTAAGAGAAAAGGTGTTAATAAAACATGATGAAACTGGTACACAGATAAATACTTATGCATGCCAAGACATGAAGATTTGACAACGAAAAATTGTTCTAGGTATCTGAGGATGATATTCTTTCCAGGCACACAGAATTGTACTTGAAAGAACTTGGTCCAAAATAACTGTACACCATTAATCTGTTTGATTTTAGTATGCATAAATATAAAGGACAGGTGCCACAGTGGTTAGCACTGTTGCTTCGAGTCTTAGCTGGACCAGTTGGCATTTCTGTGTGGAGTTTGCATGTTCTCCCCATGTTCACGTGGGTTTCCTCTGGGAGCTCCGTTTTCACCCACAGTCCAAAGACATGCGCTATAGCTGAATTGGATGAACTTAATTGGCCATAATGTGTGTGTGTGTGTGTGTGTGTGAATGAGAGTGTATGGATATTTCCCAGTACTGGGTTGCAGCTGGAATTCCGCTGTGACAACCCCTGATAAATAGGAGACTATGCTAAAGGAAAATGAAGGAATAAATAAATGAATATGGATAATAATAAAGGGATAGTTCACCCAAAATATAAAAAGTCCTTTATCCAATATTTTAACTTTGCATTCTATATCCATACAAAAGAAGGCAAGCAGTATAACAAACAATTTGGTAACCAATACTTTTTCAAATATCTTTTACTTACAATTTATTGTAATATTCATGAGCTCTTTTTTCATTTTTTTTTTTTTTTATAAAAATAAATGTTGAGGTTTGGAATGGCCCAAAAACCAACTTTACCTCAATAAATAGAAATAGTGCTTTCGATAAACTCAATATACAGAATATAAACTATTAATTGACTGAATTTACAGAAAAAGTGCTATGATATATAAGATTATCATGGCTCGCTTAATTTGGGACTTGTGGATCTGAGCATCGATGGATTAGTTCAGTTCAGTGTGGTTTAATTTTTACAGCTTAGTCCAAACACTGAAGAGCAAAACTGAACTGAGAGTTTCAATTTAATACAACTTCTATGTTAAGCTGCTTTGACACAATCTACATAGTAAAAGAAATAAAGATTATTAGGATACAAGACTGTCACTTATATACTGACATCCCCCTGCCCTACCATATTTAAATGATTGTATTAATAAATGGACAAAAGGTGAATGCTTCAAGATAAAGAACACTTACTGGCGACATGTAATATGGCGTTCCAACAAACGTTTTAGCAAAGCTTGTATCGTGGTTTAGTATGCGAGCTAAACCGAAATCGCCAAGCTTTACATTCTGTTTGGCATCCAGAAAGATGTTTGCTGGTTTCAGGTCTCGGTGCAGAACTGTACTGCTGCCGTTACTCCTACCATGGCATTCTTTTAACGCCAGAGACAACTGTGCCATCACACGCAGGATGAATTCTTCCTCCAGGTATCGCCTGCAAAGAAAGGGGAAAAAAAAAATCTGTAATTTAGAAGAAGCTTGAACAACAAAACAGCAGAAGTTTAAAGAGATTGTTCACACAAAAATGAAAATTCTGTCTATATTTACTTGTTTCAAATGTGTTTGAGTTCCTTTCTTCTGTCAAACCCAAAAGAAGATACCGAAGAAAAAATACCCACCGACCGATATCAATAAATTTGTTCCTAAAAATGAATGTCAATGGTTTATTTGATATTTTTCAGGATATCTTGCTTTGTGTTCAACAGAAAAAAAGACATTTCTAAAAGTTTCAAACCACTGTGAGAAAATGAGGAAGGGTTCATTTTTGGATCAACTTTCATATATTGTAACGTTACTTGTCTTTGATGCTTCTGTTGATGAGGCTGGCGAGATCTCCACCCTCACAGTATTCCATCACTATATATAATGTCGTGTTCGTTCTGTCAATAATTCGGTCATGGTATCGGACGATATTTGGGTGCTTCAGCTCACGGAGCAAGTTGACTTCTGACACCAGCATCTGTTTCTCTCCCTCGGCCATAGTGCCATAGTCCAGAACCTTCCAGACCAGAATCTAGATAAGACATGATTCAGATCAATCCACTGGGAAAAACACCAAAGAATCTGCTACGACCAGCTGGCAATATTACTTTTCTAGTTGCACTAGATCATAACATACAAATAGGCCTGTCATAATATCTGATTCTATGTTGCACCAAAATATATTGTGGTATTGACAATATAATAGCATCACAATGCAAGTACACTCTTCCAAACAACACATATTTTCTTATGAATATTTAATTTAATTATAGTAATTTAACCAATTTAATAATTAGGCATTGGAATTTAATCAATTTAATAATTAGGCATTGGAATCAGAGTGTGAAAATGCCTATACTAAATGAATAATAATAAATATTAACAAAAATTGTGAGGTAAAAAGTAAAAGAGGCTGTGATATCTGCTACCAGATCTATTTTCAGCTGTCAGACACCCACGTGAAAACATACAATAGGAATTTCTACTAAATACTAGTGTTTTTAACCATACTGATGCTCACAAATCCAATATGAGCTCCAAAATCAGCTAAAACGTTACTATAATAGTTTTTATTATGTATGAGCGATATATATTGAATCACAAAAAAATTATTGAGGTCATGTCCATATGTTCATAAGTCAATATATTGATTATTATGACACGCCAACATACAAACGGTATAAATTAACGTGAATTTGAGCATAAACAGCTTGATACAATATGCAACTTTTTGGGGACCGCTTCAGCCTTTGATTCCTAACATTTAGGAACATTTGTTTTAAAATACGCATATTCGTTCATTTTAACGCTTCCGATTTTGATATTCATTCCATGTTGAATATTCTGACCTAAATTGCATTTAAGTATACTTTCAAAACAACAACAGCACTATTTACTGACTGAAAACAATGTTGTGCTTTGATAGCCATTGGCTCTTAATATGACTTCCCTATTTAGTATTTCCAACAACAAAAAAACACTTTTCTGAAATTAATTAAAGAAGAAAGTCAGAATGTGCGAATATAAGACCACCTTAACCTTAACCATTAGCTGTTTTTATTAAAGGTCGATTACAGAAAGTATACAAAAGCATACTATTTATGCAAAGCTCAGTTAAGTCGGTATGTTATCAACCTTTCCATCGGATTTCCTTTTGATTTTCTGGCATTTTCCATAAGATCCACATCCTATGGTGAGCAGCACCTCGTAGTCTTCAGTTTTGGATGGCATCGCGTTCAACAGCAACTCAGCAGATCCAAACACACTTCACAAATACAGCAGACCTCAATTATTTATCATTAGCGAACTGTAAGGATAACACAACACATGATTAACGAAATGAGTTCACTTACCGTAACTCACTCACTACTTGAACGCTGTGGTTTTACTTCCAGTGTGTTTTATTGTTTACCCTTAGTTAAAACGCGTGTACGTATTTTGTGAGTTGAGAAACAAACAGACGCGACAAAATAAGCTGATTTTCAAACGTGTGCGCAAACGCCGGATTCTGATTGGCTCTGCTCGATGGCTGGCAGTGATCTCATTGGTCCGTACAGACGCACAGCGTGCACGTTGCCAGGCGCCGAAGAACCGCGAGAACGCCCGGGAACAGCGTCGTATATTAAAGTTGTCCTGTCCAAACCTTTATGAACATCTTTCATCTTTTGAAAATAAAGTAGCTGGAAAGGAGCAGCCATTGACATCAATAGTCAGAACAAATTTCAAAGTTGTAATTATTTATAATCATTATTTGATTAGTGATTTGACTTTAGGTAACGTAAGCAGGCATATAGCTTTATTAAAAATCACTATTTCCAACTTCATTAACGGTGAACCACACAACAGTTTTGCCTGATCACAGTTAATAATAATACATTTAGCTAGAATTATGAAGTGATAAAAAGAGAGACCACTAACTCCCCTCTCCAAAAAAAAAAAAAAAAAAAACATTTCACTCTTAGATGTACAAATAGAAAGTAACAAAACCAAACAAAAACCTGTTTATTGTTTTACCCTATTCATCTTTAGTGTTGATTATGTCATATTAGCCTGAGTCATCTAGAACTAACAAATAAACAAACCATCCAACCAACAGACACTGAAGATGATTATTTGCATACATATGGTGGCCAGCAGGTGTCGTCAGCCCGTGGTGTTTCGAACTGCTTTAAACCCATTGCTTTAAACGGTGAAAGATTTTGAGTCAAGAAGCAATTTGTTTATTTTTTCAAAAGAAACTGGCTACTGATTTTTCCAAACGCATGATTAATGAGAAATATGTATTTATAATTTATATATTTATGTTTTTGTTGTAATATACATTTAGACAAGAGACAACTATTTAAAAATTCCATTTAAAGTTGTCTATGAAGATTTATAGTTGGAAAGTTACAAAAATGTCTTCATGGAATACGAAGTTTACTCAATATGGATAATTGCCATTAAAATAGATTAAATTTGATGTAAATTGTATTTTGCTTCTTGCCAAAAAAAAATAAATAAAAATAAAAATAAAGCCTACACATTAAGCAACATAGGACTGATTTTGTTTATAGGGCTCTATTACACAGTGCACTGGTGGCCCGCTAGGGAGCAGCGTTGTGTTCGTGGCGCTGGTTGGCTCCGGGCGTGGCCCTGATGGAAGTTGACAAACTTCTCCTTTACAGCCGACGACAGGATACGAGTTCGAGATAAATAGCCTGCCAGACACCGAGATAAAACCATTCATTTTCACTTGAATAATAGGGCCATTATTAGACTTATCGTCGATTATAAGGCACAACTAAGTGTTTTTGCTCATGCCTTTTGTGAAAGACTTCACACGACACGACTCCTCAAACCATAGCCTTCATATATAAAAATATATATATATTTTTTAATCTTACGTACTCACTGTAATTCGTTCAGCATCTGTTTAAAATCAATTTAGGCATTTATACAATTACTGAAAAGCCAATGTACAGCACACATAATATACAGCACCCCAGTATACTGAATTAGGATATATATATTAGTTTTCTATTTTACATATTCTACATTCCAACTGCTATTGCAATAGATCCATTATTAAAGTCATTATCCGTCATAAATCCCAAGTGAGTTGATTTGCCATCTTTGAAGACATCATTAAAGAATCAAAACAGCATGAGCATGTGGAAACTTATTTCATATTGTGTCTATAGCAATAATTATTTTTTTTAAATTATATATTCCCACGTTGTTCACATTTATATTTAATCATTTAGCACATCGGATTTTTTCACATAAGAGCGCACATAAAATGACCACAGTAAGTCATAATGTTAGTATTGGTGGATACTTAAATTGTAGATCTGCTGTAGGTTACCCTTTACTTCAACCCAGAGAACCATTGTGAGGTTATTTATAAGTAGACAATGTTTTAAGCGTTATTTTTCAATGAATATGGTATGAAATAGGACTTAATCTCCTTTATTGTCTGCGTGAACAAAGTTGCTGAACCCTTTATTTATGATGTACTAAAAAAAAAATGCAATACTGAGTAGGGACGGGGCTTTCCTGTTGCATCATTTGACATCATCACAAAAGGACCCACTCCAGTCATAAAAAAATGGTCAGATTTTAAATTGAACATTACCAAAAAAATAAAAAATAAAATAAAAAAAAAAGTTTTGCACAAATTGATTGTTCAGCTAAAGCAATGGTCTCAAACTTAATTGTGTTTGATTAGGCTTGGAGCAAAACTGTGCAGAGCTGCGGCCCTCTAGGAATCGAGTTAAAGACCTATGATCTAAAACAGGGCTATTCTATTGGCGACTGTGGGCCAAACCCAGCCCCCAAGGCTATTTGTTTTGGCCCTCAAAATAGTGTGACCAAGACATCAAATAAAATTTAGTTCAGTCGAAAAACGGCCGCTATAGTAATGAAGTGACGAGCTCCAGTTGAAGCCTACGCAGAGCACGAGTCACCTGACACTGAGTGGCGCGAGCAATCGAAAACATTTATGCTTGTGAAAAAGACCTTTTGTACAATGCACTGATATAGTTAATAGGGTTGCAATGACTATTAACTGCGCTTTAATTCACTTCAGTTAACCGTTAAGGCTTCAAAACACTGTGTTTCTGTTGCACGGAACAAAACTGCTGCAACTAAACAAAGTTATGCCAACTGTTAGTTTAAAGTTCGGAGGCTAATATGCATGCACATTGGATAAACTATAGCAGCAGGCACTTTACTTATTGCGTCTTTTTTCTCATGCAAGTTGTTTCCAATGTTGTGTTCCAAGTTGATTGTTTCCAATTGAGATGTGCGCACATGACGCACCAGTGGACCAACACACTCTTGCCCTGTAGGCGCACACAGTAAAAATGGTCTCACGCTGTAGTGGTGAGAGCTGTGTGTGGCTTTCAGTGCAATGTAAACAAAAGATACGTTAGACGAATTATTACAAATTATTAAAATGATTGTTTATATGAACGCAGAAAAACAACAGTTCATTTAAATTCTTAGTTAAAATATAGCTTTTATGCTATGTTTTATTTATTTACTCATTGTTCTGTCTTTTATTTTCATTGTAAAATGATCACTCATGTTTAAATCAAAAACGTTTTCATTTATTTTTTAATCCAAAGAGAGAAATGGACTATTATTGGTTTTCTATTCATATTTTGTGCTGTATTTGGTTCCTGAGCAGCAATAAACAACACTTTAAAATATAAGCAGTTTTCTAAACTATTTTCTAAACTAATAGTGTTTTGAATTTAATAAATGCATATTAATCGTAATAACCGTGATTATTCTTCAGACTGTAATCGTTCAATCAAAATTTGTAATTATTGCATCCCTAATTGTTTGTAAGCAGTTTAAAACATATGAATGGGTCTGAATGTAGAAGAAGCCTACTTGTGCAATACATTGATTTTGTTGTGCATCGAAATACATTTCAATATGTTTGTAAAAAAAAACCACATTGTACAATGCAGTGATGTTATTTAGTTTCAAAATACAACATATTAACGTTTTAATTAAAAAAACAAAACAAAAAAACAAAACAAAAAAACAACATGGTTGTCTTAAGGAGCAAAAAATACAGCATATGGGCTCTTATATTGCTGTTGTGTCATCACTTATTCATATCTCTCTGACCCTCCATTCATGAACTAACCCCTATGACAAACTAATTGAATAACCCTGATCTAAATAACAATGTGCTCGAACAAAATAAACATTGAAATTTTGGATTTCACACAGACGTCAAGACATATTTGACAATTGCACAAATGAAACAACTCATCCTACAAATATGTTCATTTCTGGTGAGGTAAAATTTTAAATGTAAAAAAAAGTTGAATGTAAAGACTGACAAGGCCCTTGAAAATAACTTTTTTTGTTCTTGGGCTTTAGCAACAAATGCTAAAACAGATACAATGTGACATCACAAAATGAAAAAATTCCCATTTTCCTTGTTAATCATTATTTGTCCTAACCAGCCATAACAGTTTTGTTGGATAACAACCCTAAAACAGTCAACATATCCTAGAGATATGAACATTAAAATCTGAATGATTAAGTCTAATAAAATTTTCTGATAAATCTTTATGGTCTTGCCCCTTTTTAGGGTTAAAATTGACATTTAATGTTACTTGTGTAAGTCATTAAAAGGTATAATTGTTTAGATGAAAATGTTTACACAAAACTAAATCATTTCTAAAATGAATAATTAAATATGTCTGGAAAGTTTAAAAATAGGAGGAATAACAGTCAGAATACCATTTTAGCTGCAAATTGTAATAATGAAAAAAGAAACAATAATGACCTAGTCCTTTTTATATCATGAACAGTCAAATCTTGGCAGATAAAATACATAAATTCCTAAATTAACAAATCAGGGTTCAACGCTAAGGATTTTTTGTACTGGTCTGATCCAAAACTGGTCTGGCCCCACCAAAAAAAAGGGAAGTTAATAGCTATATTTTAGCCGCATATTTTAAATAATTTGTTAAAAATAAAGTCTGTGAATCTACAATTTTAATACTTAAAAAATGTAATTAAATCGTTATGCAAACAAAAAGAGTAGTATGAAAAAAATTTGGAGGTATTTTATTGCAGTTCGAAATTATTTAACAAAAGGTGGGCTGACTTGTCAAACTGATGGCAAACTGCAAAACATCACTTCATTTTTTTTGGCGCGTTGTTCACACGTAAATGTCTGCTTTTAAAACATTAGAAACAGACATTTTCTTTTAGCCTTATATTTAGATGTTGCCGACATGTTGCTGTTTCTTCTCTGTACTGGTTGCTACCAGGTTATGGAAAAAAACTGCATGCTCAAAACATCAAATCAGATAAGAGGAACCGGAAAGCAATATGGTGTTTAGGACATCACAGAGAAGGTAGTGTTTAAAGACTTAAAAGCACAAACTTAAAATGCACGCAGTTGACAAATAGTCGCAGACAAATTAAATGTTAGTGAC